AACTTTGGACTCCCAATACTTTAATTGCTTCTTTAACATGTTTAAGCTACATTCTTGCAAGATCATGACCAAAAGTTTCCAAAAAAGAAGTTCACCTTGATTTAATGGATAAATTACAGATAAATAGTGAAAATAAACATTCTTCATTCAAGTCAGCACTTTTAAAGCTTTAGACTGCTAATGTAGGCCTAACTTACATGCGACGTCATGTGACTTCAAAGTCTAGTGCCCTGTTCACACGAAGAGTTTAATTCACAGTAAATTATCGCGAAGTAAACTAATGCGAATTAAACTGCAGTGTTTACATGACAGGTAATGCAAAGTAAACAAATGCAAATTAAAAATTTTACTTCTACAGTCAGGCGTCAGTAAGGCTTTTATGACATCATTTACAAATCATGTCACCTTAAGCAGAAGCAGATGTATTTGACATAAGGCCTAGGAAAAAAATGTGTTTGTTTCCGCTTTCCCAACCGACCCTAATTTATAGTGCCGACCCTAAAACTTTTTATAATGCTTTTGTCCCAGTAAGTGCAAGATTTCACCCAGGGAATAAGAGTCTCCAACTTTGCAAGCTTTTAACCTTTCTATTATATTAAAGTTTAAGTCACAGAAATGCTTGAAAACACCATTTCTTTTGTCATTAATATTTCTTCCATACATGTTTTGATTAAAGAAGCAAAAAAAAAAAAAAATAAAAAAAAAAAAATTGCCTACCTACCTACCCTATATTTTTTCAGCCTGAAAGCGGAAACAAACATATTCTTTTTCTAGGCCTAATATCACAGTGTCTCTAGAAACATTCTAGTGATTAACGCTGTTTTCCTTAGTTTTTCACTCAAAATTACCACAAGTATTTAAAGCTGACCATAAACATGTAGCATTTGACTTAATTTTGCCATTACGCATGCCTCAAAATTTGATTCGAATTAGCTTTTCTTAGCGTTCACACAAAGCTAATGCAAAGTAATTTAATGCGCAGTAAATTAATTCGATCGAATTAAACTTATTTGAATGAAACTCTCGGTGTGAACAGGGTATTGATGCACCAAATGTCAAGTCCAGTTTGAAAAACCTGAGCTATATTTAAACTTAATAAGTATCTGACCTCACCCTAACAGTCGCACCATTAACATATTAGTTGGAGAATATACACTGTAACAATAAGTGTAATGTGAATTAAAGTATGACTTTGAACATGTTGAATGCGAGTCTTGTTGAAATTACATGATCACATATATTTAAATAAAATATAAAGCTGTCTGGATTTTAAATGGTTAATAGAGAGCGTCTGAACTGTATACAAACAATATATCGGTGAGTCTGTGTATTAAAGTATTTCTAAAAAAATCAAAGATCTAATTAAGCTGCCATCAGCTGACCATAGTATTGTAAATTTTAGGTTAAAAAATTCTTACCTTAATTCCCATGATTTCCTCGTAAACAATTCACACAAGAAATTGATTTTTTTAGGTTCGGTTTCGGGTTTCTCGGGTCGGGTAGGTAATGGAAGAAAAGCTCATGATTTGTATTATTTTTAACAATAAAAAGAATATTCTCATTTAATCTTAGAAATTGCAACATTATAACTAGTTTAGAGTGTTCATCATAATAGTACAGTCGGGATTTCCTCGTAAACAATTCACACAAGAAATTGTAAATCGGATAATTCTGCTTGGAATAATGCTCCAGAGGATTGAAAAAGTACTTCGTAGCTGCAGATTAAATGTGCGTGCATGTCTACATACGGTTTGTATGGTGAAAAAATGTTCAGCTTCACATCATTTCTCGATTTCTTTCAGTTTGAGTTTGTCAACATGTGTCCAATTTCGATGGGACGCACTAAAAACCGGATATACAAAAGACCTGATATTTACCTAATGTTTTTATCTTAAATAAAGTGATAATATTGAGTACTTTAAATGACTTATTTAAAGACTTTATTACTATTATGCATTATGCTTTACAAAAAAAATGGTTTGTTTGGAATATTTACTGACAATTATGAATCAGGTCAAATCAGGTTTTTAGTACATCGCGTCTTTAGAACCTTCACATTTCCCACAATGCCGCGCGTTGTTTACAAACAAGAGGCCCCGAAAAAAAATCCTCTAAACTAATTATTGTGTACATCACCTTATTTTTAATATTTGAATAAAAAGAAAACAGAAAAACACCGAATCAAAACTATATCTTTCAGATGCATCAACTAAAACAGTACACATGCAGTAAAGGCTTGGCTGGCTATAGTGGACAACTTGTTCCTGAAAGGTTTCTCACATATTTGTTTTATAAAAAAACAATTAAATATAGCTTGAAGTTTATTTCTTTTTATATCAAATGGCAAGATTTAATAAGTTCGAAATTATTTCAGTCAAACTTTTTCATAATATACCAATATTTTTAGCTATCAGAAAAAAACGTGTATGAGCTATTAACCCCTAATTATAGGGGCCAGACCTCTCCCCTTTCCTTGATCTTATATGAAAGCTCTTGTAATTACGCACAACTTTTATTATATATTTCTTACCAAATTATTTTCGGTTCAAAAGTTATTACACAAAAAGAAGCAAAATTTCAAGGAAAAAAAAGATGCTAAAATTTGCCGTCACATAGCTTCTGAGCTTTAAGAAATCAGCTTATAATTTTATCGTTCTGCACATCTACAATGTATTGGCTACAAGTTCTCCAGCTTTCATGGAAATATCATGTGTTGTTCCTGAGATTTTTAGTGGAAGCGAGACATCAAAAATTATCAATTAAAGGGCAATAACTCACAAAGAAAGGCATGTATCAAAAAATTGTAAACAGGTATAAATAGGTGTAAACACAAGGTATCTAACCTGAAAGTTTCATAAAAATCGGTCGAAAGGTCTTTGAGAAATCGCCTGTCAAAAATCCGGCAGGAAAAAAAAGAATAATAAGAAACAATAGAATAACAGTAGGGTCTTCCGAAGGAAGCGGAAGACCCTAATAATCTTTACCAACAGAATCAGTAGAAGGTCTTCCGTTGGAAACGGAAGACCTTAATAATCTTTACCATCAGAATCAGTTGAAGGTCTTCCGTTAGAAACGGAAGACCTTAATAACACACGCCAAACCTTGTCAACACGCAGTAGAATACACAATGGGAACTACATATATTTTCAAAATTCTTGGAACACCATAATGTATATTTTTTTACTCATTGATAAGATCAACTACCCTGTTAAATTATCTTAAAAATACAACTGTGCGTTTAAAATTAATTTGTCATTTTTTCCTCGCAAGGCTCATTTGCGGTATTACCGGTCACGGTAGCCTAGTGGTAGAGCGTTCGCTTCGTGATCGGGAGGCCCGGGTTCGATTCTCGTTCGCGGCGCCGCGTCATACCTAAGACGTAAACAAAGGTAGTGACTGTTCCTTCGCCAAGCGCTCGGCACTAGAAGTAAAAGTCACGGGTCTTTTGGATATGAGCTTAAAAAGGTACAAGTAGGTCCCGTAGGCGCTGGCAATAAAGAACCCTCACTGCTCAATGGCCCTGAGTGCCGAGTATAGGTCTAAATTTGAAGCCCTTCACCGGCATACGGTGACGTCTCCATATGAGTGAAAAATTCTCAAGAGGGACGTTAAACAATGTACAATTAATCAATCAATCAATCAATCATTTGCGTTATTTAACTTTTCAACGCCGCAAACAGCTCAAACGTCTAGAAAGCACAGCAAATATGAAAGGTGCTCAATTCATATTAAAGATACCGAAATAAAAAAAATAAATGATGAAAGGGACTAAGAGAAGGTAAATATAAGCATTGAATTCTTATTTTTTATGTCGTCGATCCTATAACACACCTGGCCGTGCCGACAAATTATCATTCCGCGCTAACGCACGATATTCATTTTGTCTGCAGGGCAATTTGTGTTATAGTACCGACGACATAAAAAATCAAAGTACTGAGACAGTATTGAAAGACGGGGTCAAAATAATCTTCATGCTAGATTTCACAAATGTGATTTTTTTTTTACGAGTTTTAATAACAACTTTATTTTTTCATTAACATACTAAAAACAAAAATATGAATAATATACATTCACATTTTCCATTTAATTTGATTTGAAGTAGAAATTTTAATAATTGCTCAGTCTGGAAACCTTTCTGAACTGCTCCGAATTTCATCAGGTACGAACTAATAACTTTTCCGGAAGTAAACAATGGATGATGCGTACACAGTCATAATAATACACTGTACGCAGTATAGTACTTTGTCTACTAGTGTTATTTACAGTTAATATTTTCAGTTTTAAATTATCAAAATACTTTATTAGTTGAGTTAGACAAAGGTTCATATCAATTTCTTCAGTTTGATACAAAATGTTTATGTTTTGATCGAAACAATTTCTGCACTCGTTCGTATGCGTAAATTTAATTCATGTGTTATCACCACGGCTTCCGTTTTCTATTTTTAGGCCTCTGAGAGTAAACTAAAAGACGGGGTCACGTGACCCCGTCTAAAAATAAAAACTCAATTGTTAAATATTTCATTGCAAACATATTGACCAATAAAGATAATATTACTGGATATGTCTGGAGCTATTGTTGTAGTTGTAGTTGATATTGTCGTTGTTGTTGTCACGTTTGAAGTGCTCGTTGTTCTTGATGTTGTTATCGGTTCAGTTGTTGATACTGTTTTCTGCGATGTTCTTGTCAAAGTTGTCGTCTCCAATGTGGTATTCCCTTTGAAATATTTATCAATGACAGTTTATTTATAAAATTTGTTCTGAATCGGAATAAAAAGTAATATATCGATTTAAAATTTTTTATCTGTTTTTTTTTAATCTACGCTATAGAAAAATTTATGTTTAAATGTAAATTTTGATTTAAAAAGAATCTACAATTTACCTGTTGATGAGTTTTGAGAATCCGCGTTGCCTTCAGGTGTATCTACAGACAAATAATAACCCAAATAACGGAATACTGAAAAAATGTTTTTGACAATGTGGGAGTACTTTGATGCACTTCTTTATTCAAAAAGGTAATTTACGATATGTTTACCTTTTTTGTTGATGTACAAAACCACCACAGTCACCAAGGAGCAGGTAATTATCGTCAAAATGAAAATGACACAGCCAATCAAAAATGGCCTCTTGCTTCGTTTGGATTTGACCTGATTCCTTTCTGGTAGGGGCGGTTTTGATTCCGATTTATGAAAGGACTTTCAAAATAGAAAATTCTAATTTTCAAAATATTCATGTTATTTTTTCTACTTTGCTGTTGATCGTAGTTTCTTTTTTTAACATTTTTCTTTATTAACCCCCTTCCCCGCAATCATGCATTTTAAGGCATATACCATTTCCTATTTCTAATGCAAAATCACGCATATACCGTTTCCCCGCATTCAGGCAATTTCACGCACTTTAAAAAGTTCATTCAATCTTAAATTTAATGCCAATTTCCTTCTATTTCATACTTGCAAAAATCTTATAAAATAAGAAAAGTTATTTTTGCATATAAATATAGCGCCATAATATTATTTACGCTAAACTTTAGAGAAACGTGTACCCACTTAAAGGTGCTTGCGGGGAAAGGGTAAACTTCTATTTCTATGACGTGAACATTAAGTGTATGTTGCATAACAGTTCAGTAAGTTGTATAGAGTTATATGTAATTATAACGAAAAAAATTTTTAGTATTTTTGAAATTGCTTTTCATAATATTTAAAAAAAAAAATTATATCATGTTTATATACATTATGATTTGTGTGTTTTTTAAGCAATGAACTGATGTTTTTGGATAAATGTCAAGCGGATTTGTATTAAAATATTGATCTCATGGGTCAACCTGTAAATTCATGTATGTAAATACGAAATAAACGCTTACGGTGTCTGTTAAATTTGAGGTTTTCTTGCTCGACGTCTCATTTTGAAAAGGTCGAACAACATGCACTGGTAATTCATATGGCGAATCCGATGAGTTGTTATTCTAAAATCAAGATATGATATACAAATACTTTTAACTTTTTGTTTGTAAAATATGATAATATGCAATATCTTATTTTAAAAAAATTCTCCCAAAGCCTAAGAATGCAATGGCACAGAAAGAGAGATTTTAATCGCTGTACACATCTTTCTCGTATTCAGTTTAAATTCTGAATTGGGAATTATTTTTTAATGGAAGATTCCTGCAAAGATGAATTATGGAGAATTACTAAACATAACAACCTTGCGATTTCTCAAATATTGTACATGTATATCTATATACAGAGATAAAGAAATGTCAGTTCTTTCTAAAATAGATCAGGAAAAAAATCCTGTGAAAAGTAAATAACTTCAAAACTGAAGAGTTATAAATACTTTTGATCCCTACCTCATCATCGTGTTGCCAAAGATTTATTCAGTTTCGTCACAACAATTATTAAATCGCTTAGATACATTTGATAGTTTTGAAATTTATAACTCTTAGGGGCGCATTAATCATTTTATACTCCTGCAGAATTCCAATACGAAAATGTGTAGTTGACCGTCAACTAGCCGTCAACTAACCGTCAACTAGTCGTCAACTGTTAATGCGAAAACAGTTGACCACTCGTAGTTGAATGCTTTTCTGAAAAGCGATCAACTGATTTGCATAAAACGGCCAGTTGACCATTAATTGAATGCTAATACTTTGAAATTTCAAGCAGAACAAGAGTTGACCACTAGTTGAACACTCCGACTTGTTAGAAAATTTCTCCCACGCTAAATTTATGTTGGGTTCAAAATTCAATTTCATAGATCAGGCTTGTTATACCATACAACAACCAAGATTTGAATCAGTACATGTGTGTTTTCTGTAGAAGATAGGAATTTTGATTTGAAACATTATTGTCTTCGTGATGATTCAGCGTGTGAAATATCTCATGTACTATTGTAAGTATATAAAATTTAAAGATTTGTTTTTACTAAGCTTGTTATTTTTAAACAGATAATAGGAATGCAAAAAATTGTAGCCAGTAAAGGTCCCTATTTTTGTGTACTTTTTTAAATATTGAAAGAATTCTGAAAACCTGTTATGCATCAAGTGTCTTGTTGTGTTTCTTGTTGTGTTGGTAAAAATTAATATACAATTGCTTTAGACTAATACTATATATAACCTTTTCTTCTGCCCAGAAAATGAAGAAGGAATGTAACAACTTATGAGAGTGTGCCAGCTCAATTCATTTATAATGCATTTAGTTTTACAAGAAACTCCACTTGTTTGACTTTTCATATTTTCAAGAACACTGCTTGTCTTAGATTTCAAATCGCCCTCCATTTTTTTCAGATATTTAATGAAAGCAACCTACGTGCACTGACTAATGGAGTATTCAACTAGCGGTCAACTGCAAAGGAAATAGAGGAGTATTCAACTAGCGGTCAACTGCAAAGGAGATAGAGGAGTATTCAACTAGCGGTCAACAGTAAAGAAATTAGAGGAGTATTCAACTAGCGGTCAACTGCAAAGAAAATCGTGGAGTATTCAACTAGCGGTCAACTGTAAAGGAAATAGAGGAGTATTCAACTAGCGGTCAACTGCAAAGAAAATCGTGGAGTATTCAACTAGTGGTTAACTGTAAAGGAAATAGTGGAGTATTAAACTAGCGGTCAACTGCAAAGAATATATAGGAGCATTCAACAGTGGCCCACTCTATGCAAATGAGTTGATCGCTCCCTCATTTGCATGGCAAAAATTCAACTAATGGTCAATTGACGGTCAGTTGACCGTCAACTAGTAGTCAACTGAATACTCCGATTGAATTCTAATAGTTTTTTTCATATGGGTTTTTATTGCGGAAGCATTCCTTGATCAAAATTACATAATAAATAGCAACACCAGATTATATTAGTATGACAATACTAATAAATAACAATAATAAATAATACTAGTAAAATCCATTCAAAGAAATCATTGAAACTTAAAGACAGTCACGTTGCATTATTTTACGTGGGGAGTCGAAAAAATTCTTGACAAGCAAGGAATACACAGGTGAAAAAAATAAACGAGAAATTGAAACTGGAGGGGGGGTTGAAGTTCAATTTTTTGGGGTTAAAAATATTAAAAAAAGTTGTAGAAGGAAACCAAAATGAACGTTTTTACAAAGTACAAATAATTATTTAATAGGTCCGCTTAGGATTCCTTCCTAAGTATCACGTTTATAATATGAATCAAACAAACTTCAACAAAGATGACACTATAACAAGAAACTGATTGAAATTCACTATGTGTATATACTTTTTCCTCGGTCCTATCTGGATAAATGATTAGCAAACAAATATGAACTTAACGACAACGAATTATAAGAAAAGAATCAACCACAATTGAATCACTAACGATCAAGCAAATAATCAAATATGAAGTTATAACACTGTAGTTGCAGACTGAGTGGCTTAACCAACAATTCTATTGTTTCCCGACACAGTCTGCAACTACCTCAAAACACACCCTAATAATCACTGAGACACCTTTATGTAAAAGTCACCAAGACACTATACTATTCAAATAAGTCACCAAAACACTATAGTCACTGAGACACTAATAGGGAACTAGGTTCCTGAGCTGAGTGGTTTAACGAACAATTGTGCTGTTTCCCGACACAGCCCAAGAACCTAGCCGGAGAGGTGTTAATCAAGCGATGAGTTACCACCAAGTAACCGATTGCTTCATGGGTGTCTGTATTTATACCTTATTCTAATTCCTAATGATTGGTTGATGATTCTGGAACTCTGATTGGTTATAATATCAAGCGCTGATTGGTCAAATATAAAATGATATGATTGGACGATTTTAAAGGCATTTCAATCCACCATCGATATTCTATATCATTACATTACCCACGCCTTCAAAAAAAAATATGCGTCCTCGCATAAATAAACAAGAGTATAATAAGGTTAAAAACATTGAACTTTAAAACTGCAGTAGTATTTCCTACCAAACTGATTTTTATTTACATATTCAGAAAGAGACGTAATCACTAAGGTAGGCTGGTCTGCTTCTCTTTCGTTTGCCATCTGCCTGAAAACTCTCCTTTTCATATGTTTCCTCGACATCTTGAGCAATGTTTTCAGAGGAATCAGACATTGTATTTTCTGCAATGTTATTCGCTTGCAAAGGTTCTGATGTTAGAATTTGATCTTTCATTAGCCTTATCCTGTCAGTATGAATGACTTGGTTTGTACCTTTGTATCCACAGTTTATTTTATAAGTGACATTGGAACATTTCTCAATAATTTCAATTGGTCCTTGCCAATATGATGTAAATTTGGGAGATGTACCAGGCTTACGTTTTGGGAAGTAAACATAAACTCTGTCACCTGGCTTAAATGACTGCCAGTTTAATTTTCTATCATGGTACCACTTCTGTCGTTCTATACTCTCTTTTGTCATATCCCTGACAACTGTGTGTGCTTCTTCTAATTTTTCTTGTAACTCCCAAACCCATCTATTCTGTGGAATTCTCTTAATATCAGAATGGACCTCGTATACGATATCCAAAGGTGTAGCGACCTCTCTACCTAACATCATTTTGTTTGGAGTTGCACCCGTTGATTCGTGGACTGCTGCTCTGTATGCCATCATTACGTATGGGAGATGTTCGTCCCAATCCGTATGGTGCTCATTGACATAGGCTGATAACATGGTAGCCAGAGTTTTGTTGAATCTTTCGACCATCCCGTCCGATTGGGGGTGGTACGGGGTGGTGTGTGTTTTCTTTATATTCAAAAGCCGGCACATTTCTGTAAAAAGATTGCTTTCAAACTGGACTCCTTGATCGGAGTGAATAGTTCCAGGCACTCCAAAGCGGGCTATGACTTCTTCCACTATCACCTTAGCTACAGTTGCGGCTTCCATATTAGCCATAGGAAAACTTTCTGTCCATTTAGTAAAGTAATCCGATACGACTAGTATATATCGGTTACCATTATTGGACATGGGAAGTTCGCCTAATATATCTGTAGCAATACGTTCCATTGGTGCGCCGCAAGTGACAACTTGCATCGGGGCACGTTTAGTAGTATTTGGTGATTTTCGCCTTTGGCATTTTTCACAACCAGCAATGTACAATTTAACATCTTTCTGCAATCCTGGCCAATAGTATTTGCATTTTATCTTCGCCAATGTTTTCTTTATCCCAAGATGTGCAGAAGTCCTTTCATCATGGAACTGTCCTAATACTGTTCGTCTTTCACTGTATGGCACAACAGCTTGCAGAGAAACTTTGTCATTTTCGAGCTTTTTCTTTTGGAAAAGCATTCCATCCTTTAATACCAGAGCATCCCATTGAGAACATAGAGACTTAATGAAGTTGCTATGACCAGAAATCTCTGATGACTCTGGCTTTACACCTTTTTCAACCCATTTGATCAGTTGATTTATGTCTCTGTCATCATTTTGTTTGGCTTTCAAAGACAACTTATCCGTAGGTGTTGTGCTACTTATGGTATTAACTATACTCTCAGAAGATGTACAACATGCTTTTCTGCAAGGTAAACGGCTGAGGGCATCAGCATTTGCATGCTTATTCCCTGGTCTGTGTTCAATGGTCATTTGAAAATTACTCAGTGATTCAAACCATCGAGCAAGCTGGCCTTCTGGATTCTTGCTGTTCATTAGCCATTTCAAAGAACTGTGATCTGTTCTGACTAAAAACTGTTTGCCATACAAGTAGTGTTTGTAATACTTTGTAAAGTAGACAACAGCCAACAGCTCCTTCCTTGTGACGCAATATTTCCGTTCTGCTTTTGATAAGGTTCTGCTTCCAAAAGCAATTACTCTTTCTACTCCGTTTTGTGTCTGTGAAAGAACTGCCCCTATTGCTACGTCACTAGCATCTGTATCCAAAATAAATGACTGTGTAAAGTCAGGATGGGCAAGAATTGGTGCGGAGATAAGTGCATGTCGAAGGGAGTCAAAGGATGCTTGACAATCATCTGTCCATTTGAAATTTGATCCCTTCTCAGTCAATTTGTTCAGTGGTTTTGCCTTTGCTGCGAAGTTGTGTATAAAACGTCTGTAGTAGCTGCAAAGGCCTAAAAAGCTTTTAACCTCTGTTAGATTAGTAGGCACAGACAAATTTTGTACTGCAGAAATTTTTGAAGGATCTGTGCTTACTCCTTCCTCTGATACCACATGTCCGAGAAATTCAACAGTCTTATGAAACAAGTGACACTTTCTTGCTTTCAGTTTCAGGTTAGCAGATGACAGTCTATCAAATACCTGTGTAAGATTTTCTAACATGTTGGTAAACGATGTTCCGATAACAATGTCATCTAGGTATACCAAACATATTTGCCATTGCAAGCCACTCAGAACAGTTTCCATTAGCCTTTCGAAGGTTGCCGGGGCATTGCAAAGGCCAAACGGCATAACATTGAAATGGTATAAACCACGTTTAGTTGCAAATGCCGTTTTTAGTTTATCTGAGTCATCCATGCTAACTTGCCAATACCCGGAGCACAAGTCGAGGGTTGAGAACCACTTTGCTCCGGCAAGACTGTCTAACGAGTCGTCGATGCGTGGAAGTGGGTAGGCGTCTTTGACTGTAGCTGCATTTAAACGCCTGTAATCCACACAAAATCGCAAAGAACCATCTTTCTTTTTGGCTAAAACGACTCCCGATGCCCATGGACTATTCGATTTCTCTATGATTTTTCTGTCAAGCATGTCATCTAATTGCTTGTTCATCTCGTCCTGTAAATGATGTGGAATTCTTCTAGGAGGTTCTTTCAGTGGGCGTGCATCCTTGGTATCAATCGTGTGCTTAACCAGTGAAGTACGTCCCAAGTCTCTGTCTGACTTCGCAAATAAATCTGCATACCTAGCCAAAAACTTCTGTAATTTAGGTATTTCACCACCACATAACTTTAGATCTCTCAAACAGATCCTGCAGATGAGATGGCAGATTTTTGCATGGCTTATTTACAGTAGAGGTTGGTTCAAAAACATTGTCAACTGAACTCATATTTGCAATAAATGTTCCTGGATACACTGTTTGATGTTCATGGGATGGATTCATCATTCGGACTGGTATTTCTCCATCTTTTACATATCCAACTGATCTTGCTATTAATGCTTTTCCTGATTTCAGGAACTTCTCCGATGGTTCTATCATACCTAAAACTTCTTTCATGTCGTAGGATTTTGACGGCATTGAGACCTTACAATAAGTCACTATCTCACTTCTGGCAGGAACGACAATCATCTCTTTCGAGTTAATTCTAAAGCAACCGATTTTGCCAAAGAAATCAACTTTGTAAACTTTGTCGTTTACCTTAAAATACCCATTAACTATGTCTATTGTACAATTGTATTTCTTCATAAAGTCAAGTCCAATGACTCCATCAAGAGAAAAATCTGCTACGATGACATCTTGGCTATAAAAACTCTCACCCAGATTAATGCAAATGCTAGTTTTTCCTTTCACAGTTAAGTCGGTCCCACATGCGGAAGAGACTATTTGATCGGTTTTGTACAAAACTGGTTTGTTTTGTATAGCCTCATAAACTTTACTTGACAGTACTGATAGTGTTGCTCCCGTGTCAACAAGCAAATTCGCTTCAATCCCCTGGATGGTAGCTTTCACGTACATTCCAGCCTCAGGGTCATTCTGGTTTACCCCAACTTGAGCTTTGTAAGACGTGATGCATTTGAATGTGTTTTGTACAGGATGTTTCTTTGTACTATATGAGTATTTCTTTTGTGATGATGCGTTTTGTTGAGTTCTATAACCTTGTGGACAGTCATATCGGAAATGATTTGGAGATCCACACAAATAGCAGCGTCTGTTGCTGGTAGCTCCAGATTTCTTTTTGTATGCAACATCCTGGGAATTCTTTGCTTTCATGTCATTAACTTCTTTACGAAGTTTTCTTATTTCATCCTTCAGCTCTACCAATATACTTGTGCTGATCGGATCTGATCTGTCTTTCTTGTTTCCCTCAGTTTTCTCTGACAGCATTGGTCGTAAGTGGGTTTGTTTTTCTAACATTTTACGATCAGATTTAACAAATGCTTCCAATTCGACAGCATGTCGAATAGCATCATTGAGATTTAATGGCCTTGCTTGTTTGATTCTCAATCTCATGTCAGCATCTAGGAGAGCATCAATAAACTGTTCTTTTGCCAGCGTTTCTTGTACATCTCTTGGCGCCGTTGGGTATGCCAAGCTTGTGAGTCTTCTTATGGATTGTCCCAGTTCTGGTAAAGTTTCCGTTGCTCGTTGTCGGCGTTCTCGCAGCTGGGTCCTATACAAGTCATTTTGATTCGAGGGTGCAAATCTCTCCTCTAATGCATTCACAAGTAAGACATAGTCATGCTTGTGTGTGTTAGGCAAATTCCCCAGTACACCCTGAGCCTGTCCTCTCAAGGAAACTGCTAAATATAAACCTTTCTCTAGTCCTCTTAGGGCTAAATATAAACCTTTCTCTATCCGTCCACTTATTCAACATGGCGCATGCATCAAAATGGGAACGATAATCTAACCAGGATCCCGTACCATCAAATGTTGCAGGTTTTATATGGGTCTGTGGTTTCTTCTCTGTTGCCGTTATGATATCGGTCTCTGTATCCTGTCTACTAAATCGACGATCCTTTCGGCGATTAGTAATGTTTGACTCTGTTGCACTTCCAGAGACTGGTGTTGACATTAAATAACCAGGTCTTTTGCCCTCATCGGAAGGAACACTACTTGTACCAAACAACATTTCATCTTCCCAAGAAACTTTTCCTATGGGATGCTTTTTCGGTTTAACATCACCGTGAAAGTCTATATCAGAAAATCTGCCTGATGCAAAACCTGAATCTTTTGATTTCGTATCTGATCGAACATCTGGGGTACTTGTTTTATTAGCACTTGTATCCTTGGCTAAACTAGCATTGTGAATGCTTAAACTGTCATTTTTCAACTCTTGTAACTTCTGCTCTATGAACGTTATTTCTTTGTCAATGTCGGTAATATCCTTGTCAGCCATGTTTTACAACATGCCCACAAAATGAAAACAAATAATAGATCAACAAATGATACAAAATATATAAACGTAATATTCCTAAAACCGCTGCCACCAAATTTGTAACGTTTTTACAAAGTACAAATAATTATTTAATAGGTCCGCTTAGGATTCCTTCCTAAGTATCACGTTTATAATATGAATCAAACAAACTTCAACAAAGATGACACTATAACAAGAAACTGATTGAAATTCACTATGTGTATATACTTTTTCCTCGGTCCTATCTGGATAAATGATTAGCAAACAAATATGAACTAAACGACAACAAATTATAAGAAAAGAATCAACCACAATTGAATCACTAACGATTAAGCAAATAATCAAATATGAAGTTATAACACTGTAGTTGCAGACTGAGTGGTTTAACCAACAATCCTGTTGTTTCCCGACACAGTCTGCAACTACCAAAAAAAACACACCCTAAAAGTCACTGAGACACCTTTATGTAAAAGTCACCAAGACACTATTTATATAAGTCACCAAGACACTATAGTCACTGAGACACACTATTAAGGAACTAGGTTCCTGAGCTGAGTGGTTTAACTAACAATTCTGTTGTTTCCCGACACAGCCCAAGAACCTAATCCAGGAGGTGTTAACCAAGCGATGAGTTACCACCAAGTAACCAAATCTTATGGGTGTCTGTATTTATACCCTATTCTAATAACTAATGATTGGTTGATGATTCTGGAACTCTGATTGGTTATAATATAAACGTTGATTGGTCAAATATACAATGATTAGATTGGTCTATTTCAAAGGCATTTCAATCCAATATGATTTTACGTTTCATTACACTATTTATAATACAAACCAAAGATAGAATTCAAGATATAAAAATTAAATGTTAACTCAAGTGTTTTTTTTTACTTTAAGGACCTTGGGGCCAGTTCTTTTATGAACATTTGAGCTGAAGAATTGAAAAGGAACACAAAACTGAACTTTGAGTTTATATTTAAAAATTGATAAATATCTTGGCAAAACTCACTAATTTGGAATATCCCGGATCGTGAATTTCAACAGGCATCATATACCCTTTATCTGTCTTCTTTGGTTTCAAAATAACCTAAACATAACGATGATTAAGGTCAATTGATATTTTAAAACATTTAATATAAGGGGATAACAATAGATTTGCTGTCACTTTTAAAACTCATTAATATTATTAAAAGAGAATAGAGAAAAAATTCTTTCTTATTGGCTTGATTTAAAAATGTGTAAATTAAGTCCACAATTTGAATTTAATTTGCTGAATAAAAAAAGTACTGCCGAGTCATGTAACTTTCTTATCGGCTTTATTTAAAAATTGAAAATTAAGCCTATAATTTGACTTCTTATTAGCTTAAAAAAACGTACTGCAGAGTCCTGAATTTTTTCATAATCTGGGGTGCCTAATTCCATATACACATTTCCTGGATTCTCATCTTCATATTTTTCTTGCTCCTTAAAATGATATATAATACTAATGATAATAATAAAAAAATAGAATGATGATGATAATATTAATATCATGAATAGCGTTTCAATGAAGCTAATTTTGCTTCGTTTTTTAAAATTTTATTTTCTATTTTGTGATACATGTACATGTAAAAATAAGTCAGGAAAATTGTTATACATGCGCTTTTATATCTGTTACAGAAGAACATATGACGTAACCCGCGTCCGCTGAGTCCTAAATATCGGTAAAAGAAGAAAACGGTAAAAAACAAATATTATAATTTTTTCAAACGAATTGCATGAATGAAAAAAAAAATGAAATGGAAAACAACTGTTGAAAGAAAATCATTATGTAATTTGTTACTTTTGAGGAATCCATTTTCCAAGACTTTCTAAAGAAACTTTGTGTGTTCAAATATTTTTGGCAGCTGCAAGAAAAAAAATTGTATACTTCAATTTATCTAATCATTAATTTCTAGTGGCAATGAATTTACAAAAGATAACTCCCAGCTTGATTTTGAGAGATAAATGGGGTTTATTTAAAGAGATAGACAGACTGTACCTGATTAGAAAAAGAAAAGATAACAAATATTGCTCAATCTTATTAATCCAATGTAGAATATTGTGAAAAGGATAAAACATGGACTACCAAAACTGTAACTATAGGATATTATACTAAAGTTAACTCAAGTTAATACTTGGTTATCTTGATTTCCAATAAAAACTCAATTTTAGAACCTTTAAAAATATTTTAATGGCTAAAATCTCTTGAATTCAACAACATTGGTATAAGATTTATAAATAATATGTTATTCATTTAAAGTATTTTTTTCTATTTCATTTGAAAATAATGCATACAAGAATTATTTTACAGAAATATAACAGGGTCATCTTTGAAAGTTTGTTTGGTTGCCCTCTCCTAACCGACTGACTAAAATTCAAATCTGTTTTTTTTTTTACATTCTAGTACAATTGTATTCTTTTAATCCCTCTTATTCCGTCAACAAATATGTTAATTTTTCCTGGTCAAAAGATTTTTCCACCTACCTACCGACCCGATAATTTTTTCATGGGTCGGGAGAGGGCAAGCAAACATGATTTTAAAGATAGCCCAGTCTGAAATCCAAGTAAAAATTCTTGGAATCACTAAAGTGAAAGCTTTGCATGAAATATATTTGAAAAAACAGCTTTATTTATATAGTTCACTACTATGAGGTATTGGTACCTCAAGTATATTTTTGTTAGGGCCCTGGAAACATCACTTTTGTTTACCGGTAATTATACACACCCTGAGCCTTTTCTATTGAACAGGTAAACGTTGTATTCGGTAGTAAAATTCAAATTTTAAACTCGAAATGTTTTAGCGTCAATATTTTTGTTTTCCACACATGTATAATCTTTAATATTCGATTATTCAATGTTTAGTCATCTATTCTCCCTGCATCTAATTCAGAATAAACTATAAAAGTATCAAGAGAGAAAAAGAAAATGGATAGGTTTTATAACAAGTCTTTTAAGCAGAATAAGAATAAATGAAAGTATGACAGTTTACAGAAAAAGGAAAAAGGGGGAACATTTAATGGTACATTTACGGTCCTGTTTTGATATTCAGAAAAGAAAATGTGCAAAAACTGACTAATATATGCATAGATCTATCGTCGTCCTATTCTGAATATCAAAATGGAGAAGAAAAAATAAAATCAAATATTTTAACTGAATTATTCAATGTACATATATAAAAACATCGCTAATTGTATCAAAAATGATAATTATAATGAAGAAGAAAACTCAAGCCAATAACATGTAATTCAGTTTAGATGAAACTAGATTACTATTTAACGATGTCTGATACTTACTATTCAAACAGTTATTATTGTTCCTTGTTCCACATAGAAAGTGGCACAGCCTTCAATATACTTTATTGATTGTTCTTTAAATTTTAAAATCACTTTGCATCTAGAGGGTTATATCTAATCTGTCATATGCACTTATGCAATGATGTCAAGCACATAATGGTTGATAACAAATCACTTATCGATTTGTTTTTCCGAAGGTATTGATTTCTTCTTTTAAAAAATAAAATAAATTAGAAGTAAGAAAACTTCTTCTTATTCTTCTTACTTAATTCAGTCAATTATACCGAGTGTATTTTCCTTCAATTATATTATGATATTAAATATAAAATCTGTGAAAATCTGGCATTTTGGCTATAACATAAAAATTCAAAGGCCTAAAATTAAAAAGTACAATAAACCTTCTAATTCTGCTAAAGGTTTGCCAGTAAAGAAGAAAACTGATATGAAACTTTTACTAAAGAAGAATATTTTTTTCATTGAACAGCTTATTATTAATTAATTAATTGAGCGTCTTATTCTTTTGGTATGTTTTAAGTTTTATATGCAAAACGATTAACTGTTTGTTTAAAGTTCATAGCAATAATTTTCAGATGTGCTATTTTATATCAATATATCTGTTAAGGGTGTTAGATGAAATAAATATTAAGATGCAGATCAGTTGTTAAGTCCAGAAGTCTACTACCAATATGTTTTGTTCCAAAGTCCAATGGAATGATACAGATTGGTAGCAGTAGAAACAAGGGCTTCCGGAGGTGGGATTGGGTGCTTCTTGGAAGTAAGCAGTCCCTATTCACATTTGCCGTGATATCTTCGTAACGAGCAGCACAACGAAAAATCCGAAGCCAATTCAATGTTTAAGGAATAAGGATCTTTATTATTCGGCATCAGGTGGCCATTGTTGTGGTCGAGGGTTTCTTACCGTGTCCAATTTTTTTTTAAACACAAGTTGGTTTTTGATAGTCTCAGTCAAAAGGTCTTTGTTTGTATGATAGTTTAATTTTTTTTCAAATTAAGACGCTACCACGTGCCGTTAGAAGGGTGCATATTTAAAACTTTTCTCATCAATCATGAGCATTGATCAGCAAGTAAAAGTTTTATTCGACCTGCCATCTTGTGATTACGTAGCGAGGTGAGCGCCCTAATATTGGCATACAGTGAAAAGAAAAGGTCATTAATTTTTAAGCATTTCTGAACATTTTAAATCAAAAAGGTTTCTTAAAGTAAATACATGAAGACCGTTCTCGGTATCCAAGTGACAAGGTGTCCCATCATAATCTGGAGGCCTGGGTTCTCTTCTCGTGTCAAACCTACACGTGAGGCGTATTAATAGTAGCAAATTCTTCTCAAAGTGACCATAACTAGCAGGAAAACAACCTTGAATGTATTGTGTAGACGCCATGATAACCCCTCCCCTTTTCACAAACTTTGAAATGACTGTTGGAAGACCTCTTATTTGCGGATTATGGAGTAAAACTTTATTGAATGTAAAGAATTCGTAACATATACTATTTAATTATAAGTAAATTTTAGTTCCATCCATCTCAAGTTAGGTAAATAGATATAATTGTAAAAACTTTTAACATCGGGTGATGTAAATGCATTTGAGGTTGCTTTTCCTCTGAATGAAAGACCAGAGATGATGCGGGTGGCTTTAGAAGTGGAAAAAAAACACGATTTATGTGAGACCTGAAAAAAGGAGATATTATGTCACGGAAGGCATTAACAAAAGAATCCTCACTGCTTACTGTCTGCCGACTAAAGGCCCAATTTTGAAGCTTTTACCGACATACGAGGTCTATTCAATAAAGAATGTCCCGAGCTCTGTTACATACAAGATAGAATTCATATGACGTTAAGCTTGACTATCTTTAATTATTGAATCTTTTATAAACTGATAACATCTTATATGACCACTTTTCATCACATAGTTTCATTGTGAAAAGCTGGAAAACAAGGGCTATTCGAGACACCGCATTGAAATGAATGGTAAAGAATCGGAAAACTTAAAGCTGACATGAATTCTTAAAAACGCAGCATTTCATCTATGTACGACTTGTTTCATACCAACTATAGCCGTATTCCGCCATATTTCTTTCAGTTACCATGTCTCATTGTAACGATATATACCCCTATGCGCTCGTTACACTTGAATGATTTCTTGGATTGGCTATCGACTTGTGCACATCTCCGATGGTAAAGCATATATATATTTATAAAAGTTATGGTAAAACACGTGTGTTTGTTTTGTATGCAGATTAAGTCCATCGATAAAGGAGATCGATTGGTTGTTTATTTGTTTACGGGTGAATAGGTTGAATCCGTGCTACGCATAATTCAGACACGTATAAGGTAGATTTTCGGGTGTTTTAAGTTATTCGAAGTTCGCTGCTACATTGCAACAGACTTATGTTCGCTTAGATCGGAGATAGAAATCAGCTATACTAGACGAGCGCCTAGCTTCATGTAGAAACAGTTGCTGATTATGCACAAACAAACAGAGCCGAGGTTCCGGGCATCTCTGACACGTTTGGACTCCATGTGGGTGAAAATTGGCACATTTGAAGGTGCAGCTACAAACTGGTAATTTCTTATTTGCGACTTCCTCAAAGAAAGAACGAAAGTATAAAAATAACATTTGAATTTTAAACACTGTTTATATTATTTACGATAGGGTAAAGGACCATATAAGCACCCTGTGTCTTTCACATTAAGGCAACAAAATTTTATTCTGTTAATCGTAATTCCTGAAAGCTTGAGTGATTAAAACGTTTGTCAACGTCTAATCTTCTGCCAGTTTTGTTTCTTTAATTGTTACTAAGCCTCATAGACCATAGGACTATGTAAGCTACGGCTACGACTCTTACAGCAGATAGAGGCACGCGCAGAACAGAGAATCTGGTAAGCATTTGGACACAGATTAGATTTAGCTTTGTAAAAAAAAAATTAAAAAAAAAAACAAAAACAAACAAACATGTGCTACTTGAGAATGAGTATAATTCTAGTAATGTCACGGTAGTAATTGATACACGTACGTACCTGGTACATGTATATATAATTTTATATCTATATGATGGGTTGGAATTTGGTAGCAATTATGAACAAAGTTCCACTGTTTCTAATTTATAGTAACGAGACACACTATTTTGGAAGCTAATTGTATTTGAATTTCATGATATGGTTTGAACAGTCCTAAAATTTTACAATTCTACATTGTACTGTGACACATTGATGCATAGAACTGCATATAGCTGGTTCATTTTTCTGAAGTTGTTTTCAAATCTTGGAAATAATGTACAGTGTACATGTAATTGAATATATAGTTCCTGATGTTCCTGATATAAGCTCGAAAAATGATGAAACATCGTTTTATTTTAGTAAAAATTTTTATTCAATAAAACCTTTGTTTAGCCACAGTGGTTTTTATGCTCCTAATTCTGGACGTTGTACAATGTATTTTAAAATACGTAGAAATGAAGAACATAAGATAAATGCATATTATTGATGCTCCATAATTTGTACATAATGTATTCTGATGCTGATAAATATTATAGAGTATCAATTTAAGACAGTGTTTATAATAGCCTTAATTATGCATTTTGCATGTCCTAATTTAGTGTTTTCTATCTGTTATGAAGAAAATACGACTCAAGAGTTGATATCATGATGATATTCGCAAGACCTATTGCCACATGTATTGATGTATTGCAGACAAGGCCATTTTAAAGTTCTGTAAGTAGCTTGAAGAAGCTGGCATGGTCTGGCATGTAGTATGATGCAGACAAGGCCCCTTTTGAAGTTCTGAAATAGCTTGAAGAAGCTGGCATGGTATGAGAAGTAGTATGATGCAGACAAGGCCCTTTTGAAGTTCTGTAAGTAGCTTGATAAAGCTGGCATGGTCTGGCATGTAGTATGATGCAGACAAGGCCCTTTGAAAGTTCTGTAAGTAGCTTGATGAAGCTGGCATGGTCTGGCATGTAGTATGATGCAGACAAGACCCTTTCCAAGCTTGAAGAAGCTGGCATAGTCTGAGATGTAATATGATGCAGACGAGGCTCTTTTCAAGTCCTGTAAGTAGCTTGAAGAAGCTGGCAGGGTCTGACATGTAGTATAATGCAGACAAGGCCATTTTCAAGTTCTGTAAGAAGCTTGAAGAAGCTGGCATGGTCTGAGATGTAGTATGATGCAGACGAGGCCCCTTTTCATGTTCCGTAAGTAGCTTGATGAAGATGGCATGGTCTGAGATGTAGTATGATGCAGACGAGGCCCTTTTCAAGTTCCGTAAGTAACTTGATGAAGCTGGCATGGTCTGAGATGTAGTATGATGCAGACGAGGCCCTTTTCAAGTTCTGTAAGTAGCTTGAAGAAGCTGGCATGGTCTGAGATGTAGTATGATGCAGACAAGGCCCTTTTCAAGTTCTGTAATTAGCTTGAAGCTTGCATGGTTTGAGATGTAGATTGATACAGACAAGACCATAGAGAATTCAGTAAGTAGTTCGAAGAAGCTGGCATGGTTTGAGATGTAGTTTTACAAAGAAACGACCATATAAAATTCAGTTAGTAGCTTGAAGAAACTGGCATGTTTGAGAGGGTTTGATACAGACAAAACCACTTAAAATTCAATTATAGTAGCTTGAAGAATCTGCCATGGTTTCAGATTTAGTATGATGCAGGCAAGACCCTTTCAAATTCTGTAAGTAGCTTAGATGAAGCTGGAATGCTTGAATGGTTCATCATGTACATTGATCATAAAATTATTTTTGAAATTTTTAAAATTTTCGAAGAAGTTAACATTTTTGGAATGTAGTATTGACTAGTATATTTAGCAAAAGACCTGTAAGTATCTTGATGAAGCTGGAAAATTCCGAGATGTATGGTATGCAGACAATTCTCTTTGTTGGATTTGTAAGTATTTTCGAAGTTGACATGACCTTAAATATAGTTGCCTTCTTGTCTTTTGAAGATGTGTAAAATTATAGTATCTCATTGAAGCAGGAAACTCGTTTTATCGATAAATGCAAGTACATAAACTTCAAAAGATATACAAAAGTGCAATTTGTTTGAGATGTATTT